CAGCAACAGGATCAGCCATGACTCCGGATCCCGGCGTATATACAGGACTGTCTCAGAAAATTAGAATATTGTGAATAAGTTCTTTATTTCTGTAATGCAAATTAAAAAAACAAAAATGTCATACATTCTGGATTCATTACAAATCAACTGAAATATTGCAAGTCCTTTTTATTTATTTTAATATTGCTGATTATGGCATACAGCTTAAAGAAAACTACAAAATCCTATCTACAAAAAATTAGAATAGTTCCTCAGACCAAGTAAAACAAAAAGATTTATAACAGCAAAACACAATCAAACATTTGAAAATGTCCATTAATGCACTCGGTACTTGGTTGGGAATCCTTTTGCACGGATTACTGCATCAATGCGGCGTGGCATGGAGGCAATCAGCCTGTGGCATTGCTGAGGTGTTATGGATGCCCAGGATGCTTCAATAGCGGCCTTTAGCTCATTAGCATTGTTGGGTCTGGTGTCTTTCAGCTTCTTCTTCACAATACCCCACATATTCTCTATGGGGTTCAGGTCAGGGGAATTTGCAGGCCAATCGAGGACAGTAATGCCACGTTGTCTTGAGTTCAGAAGTGGCTTGACCATGGGAATACGGCTATTGTAGCCCATTTCCCGGACACGTCTGTGAACAGTGACTTTTGATACCTGGACTCCAGCTTCAGTCCACTGTCTTTGAAGCTCCCCCAAATTCTGGAAGCGACTCTTCTTCACAATGCTGTTAAGGCTGCGGTCATCTCTCTTGGTTGTGCAGTGTTTCCTGCCACATTTCCCCCTTCCAACAGACTTTTTGTGGATGTGCTTTGAAACTGCACTCTGTGAACAGCTTGCTCTTTGAGAAATTTCTTTTTGTGTCTTACCCTCCTGATGGAGGGTGTCAATGACGGTCCTCTGGACAGCAGTCAGATCAGCAGTCTTCCCCATACTTGTGATTTAGTTTACTGAACCAAGCTGAGTGTTTTTCAAGGCTCAGGAAACCCTTGCAGGTGTTTCGAGTTAATTAGACGATTCAAGTGATTCGTTGAACACCCTACTAGTATACTTTTTCATGATATTCTAATATTTAGAGATAGGATATTTGAGTTTTCTTAAGCTGTATGCCATAATCAGCAATATTAAAATAATAAAAGGCTTGCAATATTTCAGTTGATTTGTAATGAATCCAGAATGTATGACATTTTTGTTTTTTTAATTGCATTACAGAAAATAAAGAACTTTATCACAATATTCTAATTTTCTGAGACAGTCCTGTAATGGCGGAAGTTTTTATTTTTTTATTTCATAGTCTTTAAATGTTCTTAATGTAGCTATTCATATATTCTCACAAGACTATGTTATTTATACATAATTCCCTCAATGCTGTATGTTCCTGTATCATAAAAGCCTCAATAAAGCCAACCTCTCAAACACCAAAAAAACGAAAAGTAAATATATACCGAGAGAACAGATAAGGATCATGTATCTCCCTACCTCCCCATCTTGAGCGCCAAGGTGCCGAAGATGTAGGTTCCAATAAGGTAGGAGATGGATGCTGGTAAGAAAGCGACGCCTGGGCCAAACACACACACACACACACACACACACACACACACACACACACACACACACACACACACACACACACACACACACACAGACTGAAAGTGTGATAAGCAGATCTCTATCAGCACAGCTTCCATTGTCTGTAATGAAGACTTGTGCCTTCCACCTGCCAGCACATGACACCCTAATATCCTGTTCCCCACCCATCCTCTTTATCTGACCTAGACTTCATATACAGTGCACTGGAACAAACTAATAACACCAAAGACTGCAGGAAGCCTCGCTATAGAAAATATCTAGCGTGGTAGAGGAGTGCTACGTCAAGTCACTAAGTAAGGTCGAATTAATGCTTTGTGGTTATATGTCTCCGCTAACCACAACAACCTTTAGTACATTAAACAACAGACAGGATTGTTTTATTTTCCATGCACCTCTCTAGTATTAAGCCACAGGTCAGATATATTGGAGCGCTCAGCAAATAAATATTGTTGGATGTTAACGTAAACACTTTTTAAAATGTGTTACTTGTAGAGGTCGAATACTGGATGTTTTCTGGTGCAGTTCTGGAGAAAAGCCACATTGTTGTTTTCCCATTGGTTATTGTTAACATGTGACTAAAGTCATGGCTCATTTGGACCTTTCTTCTTGAATCGAGTGTTGACTTTGCAAGGAAAAGGTTACAGTTAGTTACTACAAATACATTTTATATTACAGTACAAAGCATGTGATCGGGTTTTCTTACATAATGTTCACTATGGTGCTTTACTTAAATGCTTTCTGTTCTAGTTGTAAAATAAATGGAATTCAGGGGTTGTCTACAAAAAATAAGATAAAAACTATGACAAATATGGTTGTCAGTATTGTTAAGTAAATATAATGTTGTAATAGAGGCGAATGAATGTAAAAGACTTTATTGTTGGTTATTTAATATTCAGTTTCCCTGGGCACTGTCAAAGAGCTTCTGATAATTATCAGGATTTAACATTAAGGTCATACTGGTGGCTGGCGCTGCCCTGCTTTATAATCAGAGGTGTTTCTAAGAATCTTACCCCCTCTTCTATGTAGATGGAAAGAAACATGTGAAACACAGTGTACAGTACTCTTGTAAAACATCGCCTGTAACAAAGACTACAACAATAACTGAAGAAAGTGTGTGTGGGTCCTCCTACTCGTTTTTGTGGGTAGAGTGTATTTTACTACTGAACTGAGCTTTTAAATACCTAGCTGCCATTTCTTGGAACACATGGTCTCCATCATCCAGATCGGCAGGGTCGGCTCCAACATGGCAATGGCCATATTTCCAAAGCAAATGGCACCTGGGGAGGAAGATTAAGGATAAGTGGAAGCAGTGTCAATTATGGTCTGTTTTTGTTCTTTGGTCCTTATTTGTTACCTCTTTAGCCGCCTGGATGACGGTATACACACATACAAACACAGCCTCTTTGTTTCTGTGCTGTCACTCCTTAACCTGAAAGGAAAGTACTGCTGATCTGAGATTTCAGATAGCATTGTTGAACGTCTTGGATGTGAGACTTTGCAGGAAGGGTTTTTAATTTTGATCTGCTGTTTGTTTTTTGTGTGATATAATATGATGTCATACTCATGGACTCCCTTTGACAAAAAGCGGACAAAGTTTTCTCCATTACCTGGATATCAGAACACTTAGAACAAATAGTGATTATCAACTTTAGTTATTTCATCAGATCTGCGATCATATGTCTTGCACAGCATTCAAGGCTGTCCAGGCTGCTGGACAGATGTTCAACACACATCGAGCCAAGGTGAATCGGGATAAGCTGGAAAAGGCCCCTTGATGTAAGGTGTCCCCTGATATTCTTTGGGAAAGGCAGGGAACACAAGGTGTCCGTCACTATCCCCAGAGAAGGCTGGGAACACGCACTGAAAAAACTCAACCTTTGACTTTAATTGTATTATGACAACAGATTTTCCATTTGTTTTACTTCAACTTTATATCATTGCTTTCAACTAACCTAATACAGTTGACATTTGTTGACATAATACTTTTGAATAAAGCCAACGTTTCAGTTTTTTCAACATCGGATACTGATTGTGACATGTCACACTGAGATGCTCTCCATGTTGTAACGACCACAACTAGTGGTGTGATGGACAGAATGTTAAACAACATTTCTAGGGAAGCAATGGGTTTGGTGACCCCAGGATGTTTTTTGAGCAAGTTCTGTATTTTGGTCCGATCAGGACTTGATGTGGTAAACAAATTAACCGACTTTAGTACAAGAAGCCTTGGGCAGCTTTTACAGTATATACAGCTCTCGGGAAGCATTGTAGGTCCAGTGCCTTGCTCGAGGACACTTGGCATTACTTCGACGTTCCGGGACTTAAACCAGCGGCTCGCAAGGTCCCTATAGATTTAGTCATTAGCCGCGTTCACACCGCAGTACTTTTCCCACTTTAGTTCCGATATAGTTCCGAAATGTCGCGTTCACACCAAAAAGAGCCGGAACTAAAATTAGTTAATCAGAACCTTTTTTACCCCCTTTTCCGTCCCTGCTAGAGAGCAGGTACTTTCGTGGGAGAAAAAGGTTCCTATGTCTGATTGGCTGGGCGGAATGCAAACCACGCCCCGTAAAACTCCCAAAAACGTTTGTGAAGCCGCCATTTTATTATCCTCGCATTAGATTTATTGGCATTTGCATTAGCCCAGCGCACAAACGCAGAGAGACTAACTTATGGCAACACAAAAGAAAACATGGGAGCGGTGGAGATGAGGAGGTGTCGGCGTTCTGGCAGTTTACTCGGAAGGCTTCAGTAGAAGCTGCTGGGAGTCCTACTGAAGCCAGTCCCCAACTCCGGGGACATCCGGCCGGGGACTACGGGTGGCAGTATACGCCGGGAAGTTGTTTGCGGCCTGCCAGTAAACCCAAAGCAGAAGAAGAAGTGACGTCAGCGGCTTAATTTGCCTAATCCTTTCCCAGGAACTTATTCCGGTGTGAACGCGATCTGTACTTATTTCATGAGAACTAAAGAGTTTTCATGAACTAAGTTCTCATGAACCTTTGTGGGAAAAGTACTGCGGTGTGAATGCGCCTATTCCCACCTAAGTCTGACTGAAGTCGAACCAATGTGGACCCTTAGGAACAGGAACAATGTTTTGGTCAGGTTGGCTAACTGTGGAAGTATTCTAGACATGTCAAAATGGGACCGGGCCCCATGGCAGGTACAGAGCACGCTGGAGGGAATACATATCCTGTCCAGTCAGAGAACTTAGTGGTCCGCCAGGAACATGTGTTTGATGAAGGTGAGGGAAAATGGTGTCTGAGCTTAGTTTGCTCTAACAGCAACTGGTAGCAGTGTAAGTGTGAGGCAGAAGCTGATCTGATTTCTGATCTTTTATATGCAAAACAAAATTCCTGCTCTGGATTCAGCAAATCAATTGTTGGCTTTGTGCTTGGCTGACCAACAAACACAAAAAAGTTCTGGTTAAATTTCTCTTCCTGTTTTATCCCCAGCACCGTAATAAAAGGCAATATCTTACTGATGATTCAGTGGGGTGAATTAGTGTTCTTCAGATCTTCTATTATTTCCTTACCAGCTGCGATTAGAATGTATGGATCCTTCATCAGTGTTAACAGCGAGGTCCCCTTCTGACTCTGTGACAAAGGCAGATAACAACATGCTATATCAAACACAGAATTTAGGATATAATTCAGTCGCAAGCATTCCCACTGTTTATAATTATATACATTTAAAGAACCTTAATAAAATGTGTGAGCCTAATGCAGCTTGTTGACATCCAAACAGAACTAACATGTCTTGATGCATGTCTCTGGGGAACCTTGTTAAAATGTCTAGGCAGGAATCGTTTGTTAAAAATTGCACGAGATGTAGAATATTGGAATGGTGAAATAATCTGCAAATAACACCGATCCTTCTGCTGGCTTTGCCTCCATCAGCAGATCTCAGATAATATAAGATCATGTGTCATTTTGAACAGAAGGGAATAAGCAATCTTTATCTCTTTTCTGAAGGAATTATTCATTAGTGTTAGTGCAAATATCAATAATGTGTTCACTGAAGGCTCGAATGAAAGATTCTTTCATTCTCCTTAAGCCTAATAGCCCCGAACATAGACCTGCTGTCCATCTTGCTGACCAAAGTCTCAACTCACGCTGAGGAACAGGAATGCAGACAAACTGACATGCAGCTTAAAGCGTTACAAATGGTTGCAAATCAGGATCTCTGTTTTCTAAAATGTTCTACTTATTAATACTGATTTCCTTTATTTTTTCGATATAACCTTCTAATTAGCTGATGCCTGCCTTTTGGAAGCTAACGTCAATGATACCCCAATCCACAGATCAGAGGAAAGAGCAGGGGCCTCATTTATAAAGGGATATACGCTCCAAAAATGGCTTACGCCAATTTCTACGCAATGTTTGCGATTTATAAAATACTTGACGGGAAAACGTGCGGTCCTCCATGCAAACTCTAACCCATGCGTACGCACTAAGCACAAAAATAGGAGAGACGAGAAACTGCGACACCATTGGCACAAGGAAGAATGGAGAGAAATATGTGGAAATAATACCATAAATAAAATGTTACCTCTCATTTATCATATAGGAAGAATTCATTTTCACAAATTGATTAAAGCCAATCTTAAAATGATTAAACAAACGCCGGTTTGCGACTCCTCAGTGCACACAAAAACATAACTTGGAGAAATAAATAAATACGGATATGTTATTTAAAACCACCTCGAATATGTTGTGTTACTGTTATGAAATGTTTTCTCATAAATGATGCGGTAAGCAGGAGGACAGAATTACGTCTAAACTAAGGCCGTTTTGCATTTCTATAGGTTGTATATACGAGCATGGTTTTATATACTATCACGTTTAATCGTGTTTTATGCCGTTTGCCAAGACTTGATAAGTCGCTCATAAAACACAGGAGGTATGGAAACTAAGAACACCATATGTGGTAAATTGTACAGCTAATATGACACAACACATTAGTTGTATTTCCTTTAACTGGTGCATATAGAGTTGCTGCGGGGGGGGGGGTTGAGATGCACAGGCTGCATTGGAGATGCTGCGCACAGCTGATCGACAGCTGGGACACAAACCACCAAGTCAGGTCCTCTCCCCCTCTCCCCCTCTCCCCCTCTCCGTGTCAATTCTATATGCCAACTTTTCTTGTTTCTGCCGCTGCGTAGCATGTTGTAACGACGTGGAATTAGCAGAGTAGGCTATTGTATTGTTTAACTCACACCTGTTGCTCTCGATGTAATTTAGCTGATAAAAGGAGACTAATAAAAGCTAATAAAAGCCTCACACGTGGCGTTTCACTGTCAAGGGGTGCGATATAGCGTGTATGTACCGGTAATTACATTACAAATACTGACTTGAGCCCCACCACTGTATGGGTTAGCCCTACCATAGATTACCCAACAAAAATACTCTGGCGCCCCACTGTTTATGTCGACCTCCCCGAAATAACCTAAATCTGACACGGTGTGAGATGTTTTTTTTAGCTGTTCTGTCGTCATTTTGCTGCTATCTTCTTCATGCAGTCAGTCAAAATGAATGAATGAAAGGCCGTTTCTTTGACTATTTATAGGCAAATATGGGCGTTACGTGAAGCCCGCAAAAGCTGCACCGCATTTCGAGTCGATTGTGATTTATAAAGGGAAACAGGCGTAGGAAGTGCCGTTACGCACTTTCCTCGCCGGTACGCAATGTTTGGTGAATCGGAAAATGTCGGAAAATATCTATACCTATTTTTGGGATTTCTACTACGTAAGCAACCTTCCCACGTGAATCCTACGCACGGCGTTATAAATGAGGCCCCTGGTCACATTTCAATTTGTTGGAGAGCTGAAGGTTGGATCCTGACTGTTAAATTGTCCCTGTTTTTTTTTTGAGAGATGTCAGACACTGTGTCTGGATTCATGTTTTAAATAGAGTGAGTGACTCCATTTCCATTTACTCCATTTTCCGTGTTGATGCACATCATCCACCTTCTTAACATTTCTTAACCCACTTCCTGTATTGACCATACAATGTCATCAAAAATCTTTAAAATGATGTGCAGCTGTAAAGGTCACCTTAATGAATGATGTTAACGTTCAGGAAATGAATGAACAGGGAACACAGACTCACCTCTGGGGCCACCTTGCAGGGCTGTAGAACAAAGAGCTGCAGAGCTGTGAAGACACAGTGTATCAACTTAATGTAACATTAAACATGTGAAGATATGTTCAACAATGTAAAGCTCACACATTATTATTTCTATTAATGTTGGCATGACTCTTGTTGATTTAAATGTAAGTAACAATGTAAGTGTACCTCCATCAAACAAAGCCAGGCTGGCCAGAATGAGGAAAGGAGCGGTCTTCCCCACAAACTCGTACATCACACTGCCGAAGGGGGGGCCAACTGTGGGGAAACATCAGCTTTATTATCACGTTAGTTACTGCAGCTTTGTTAAGTGTGTCAGGTTAGTTTTGAAAAAGTGTTGAATATATGTTTTAACATTTGATTTGATAGATTAGATATGCATGCCATTTTTTCTTAATCCATTAAATCTTTTTGATTAATTGGATTCATAAAATCCAGAATTTAATGCCATGAATTGTCCATATTAAGCCCAAACTTATTTGACTCTCTTACACTCAGTTGTTGTCGAATGGTGAATTTGATTTGATTGAGTTCATGATTTTATAAAACGGTTTTATTTTTTTGTGTTCAGAACATTGAAATAGCAAAACTATAAAATGATATGCTATAAAGGGAGGTCCCGAGCAGTCTCTCTTTCTGTGATGTCTTTACACAATTGGTCCGTACGCCATTGCATGTTCGTAGCATTCGAGTACTTTTGAATGGCTAGCTAATGGGCGCCGCTTGGTTTAAAGAAAAGGCAAGCATGGTCTATGGGCCCAGTGGATGTGGAAAAAAAGATCCAGTTCTCTTCATACGCTCATATTTGGCACCTAGCATGACAGAATGTTGTTCTGTGTTCTCACGCTCTCTCAGGGTTGAAAAGATAGAAAAGCAATTGACACATTTGACTGTCCACTGGCCCAACCAGACCTGATGTAACCTTTACAGTATCATCTGTGTACATACTTAGCACCCCCATTGCAAGACCCCCCAGGGCGATTCCGATGGCGTGACTTCTCTCCTCATCATCTGTGTACACACTCGCAAGCATTCCCATACCTGAGAACACACAGAGGTACAGATCCTGCAATAACAACCACTCGTTGAAAAACATGTTTGCTATATAAAAACGTAGCAGACACAAATAATGTGGTACATATATACTTATTATGTAATAGTGGTAAATGTCATAACGCTAATCACATTAGCTAATTAAAAAACACATGGCTCATTTTGGGATAAACTGGAACTCATGTTGACATGTATTCGTTTGGTCATTTTAGCCTTTGCTTCTTTTACTCACGATTATGTTTGAGTTCTATATTTCCATCCTTTCGTTTGAGGATTCTAAACAAATGGCAGTACAGTTTATTATTTGGATTTTCTCATCTCTGGATTCAGATGTCAGGTGGTTTCCATAGTTTTCAGGCTGAATACAGGCTGAAGTAATTGGCTATTAGCTAGCATGTCCAATTAGGCTGACTGAGCCTTACAAAGCCAGAGGTATGCCACTGCCTTTAATACCACAAACATGTGAAATAAAGGACCTGCAGGAGTTTAATAATGGAGGGCAGTGTTGAATTAGGTGTATCGTAATTAATACTTCTGTTGCACAATTTCTGTTGCAGAAGTGGTGATGTTGTTTCTGATTTTCGATGGTTGTGGCCTAAATGGATCCTTTAGCTTACCACTTTCACAGTAACGTTTTAAAAGGGAGTTACCATCTTAAAAAAAAACATATTGTCTTTATACTTTATCTCAATACGGGTACATGTAGGAAAACATACAGTTATCTTTATGCAGCTTTGCTTACTTTGTCCAACATAAGCAACATTTTCAATTCTTCCGTTACACAACAAACAGTCCATATAGGCTTTTGGATGTGTGCTTCATTTTTAGATTACAAACTAAAGTAAGATAGTCCAAAACACCACCAAAGTAGGACTTTCTTTAAATAATTGTGTAGCATCATAGAAGGCAAACTGCTTTCTCTACAGGAGGAGGTCAGCACCTCCTGTCTAATCTGGCAACATTTAGGCTACAAACAACTTCTAATGCAGCACTCCTTTAAATGCACACGCTCAGGCTGTCACTCAATGTCCTTTGAGAATCTACATTCAGATAAATTGAATGGTGTAAAAGAAAAAAGATCTTACCGGCCACAGAGGAGCAGGAGGAGCCGACACCCTGCAGTGATCGGGCCAGAAACAGCAGAGCATAGCTCGACGAGAAGGCAAACACTACACATCAAAGAGCAGAAATATAGACAAAGAAACATCAGGCAAGAGGAAACATTAGGATTTTCTGATGAAGACGACAGGTGGGATAGGACTTACTGATTGTAGACATGAACATGATACAGAAGCCAGCGAATAAGGGAAGTTGGTATCCTACTCTGAAAGGACCAAGAGAAAAAGGACAGATTATAATTCAACAGAAAGCATGTCACAAAACAAACACACATTAACTAAATGGCTTTATTCAAAGATGGTATTCTTCTCAGCATACTATCACTTTCTAAAGTAGTGTTACTTTGCGAGGAAGAGATATTTTTGTGTGCTTAACGAGTCAAATCTATTGTCAGTACGAAGACATTTTCGCTATGTCAACCAGCACAGGTATTACGGATGAACATTTTATCCAAATGTTAATAAGGGGTTAAAGTTACAATTTGTGCAACATGAAGTGAAACCAAATCATAAAATGAAAGTCAAAATAATCAAAAATAAACTGCATAGCACATTGTGTCCTGTAACCCCAGGAACACTGCATAAATTCTGTAGTTGCATGACTCAGTTACGATTGTAGCGGAGCAGGATGACAACGCCTTCTTTCATTAAAATGTTTAAAGCTACCATGCACATCAGAGCTGTTGTAATCCCCGCAGATACCTGACATGCTTGACTTGCCTTCTATTGTCCTCTGTCAGGATGGAAGGTGACTAAGAACCACTAATGTTCCTCAATTACAGCATATCTGAGCGCCCATCTGAGACACAGAATATTGCTTTGGAGGTTGGTGTCACTATTGTTGGAGCATCCATGCTTCTCCATTTCCTGTAAACATTTATCTCACATTCTGCTCAAATCGTCACACCGACTCTGGTTTAAATTAAGCCCAATGTGGAAATGTTAAATTCTCCTCAAAGAATGTTGTTGTTGCTCAACTTGCAGTAAAAAACATTTCAACAGGAAAATCTAAGGCCAAAACACACACACACACACACACACACACACACACACACACACACACACACACACACACACACACACACACACACACACAGTGTTTGTATGCAGTTGTTGTGGCCACCGTGTTTAGAAAGGTGTTGATTGACCAGTGTCACGGCCTATCACACTCTTATGTTGGTTTAAAATAGAGGAACTCAACCATCCATGAAACTGGAAAATCACACACACATCTTCAGGAACTGCTCTGTATTTCATTCAGTTGGATTAGCTGATATGACGTTGCACCCTCAAAACCCATGTGAACTCTAACTGACATGTTTCCCCTCTATAACTGGAACAGGGAGTCTGTTTGCTGCTTTCTCTCTCTCCGATTTGAGTCGGATGTTGAATTAAATAAGTCCACAAGTGTTATTCTGTGTTGACCTCTTGCAGGCTCTACAAACAAAAGAGGACATTTAAAAACAATTCTTCCCCCCGGCTAGCAGGAAGCCTCAGTGTCTGTCATACTGCCATCCTCTGTCCTTCGTCATTCTGCTTTAAATGAAATCATTGTCTTTCCAATGTTTTCTGTCTTTTCTCTTTAACATTTCTTGCACAAGCTGAGTTGTGTCAAATGCCACATACGACCATGATTGTAGTTCTGTTCCTCACATGGCTTAAAATGAGCTGTAACTGCAGAGTGCAATTGACAATTTCAGTGACCAGCAGAAACAAGCCTGATGGGTCAGAGTGACAGCTACACATGGATGGTGCTGTTATAGGGAGAGTAAGAAATGCAACTGAATCTTTTGGTCATAATTCTGCATGCAGTAGGAAACTCTGGCAATATACTGTATATCATACCTTACATTTACAGAACAATCTATCGAAAAAGGAAAAAAGAACTTGTGGATTCACCTATAATACAGAAAAAGGTTGAAAGCACTTATAATGTGTGTTATACATAACAATTCAGTGCTGTGTCAAACACTATTTAACCTAAAAACCACCCAGTGGTCGGTCCTGAAGTGTTTTTAAAATGTAATGATTTAAAGGGATAAAAGTAGCTTTTATTTTAGAGTAGGAATAACAACAATGCTGCTAAGTCACAGTAATGTTCCTGTTTTACTGTGAAATGTGTTAACCAGTTAATTCCCAGTGGTGTAAAGTAACTAAGTAGATTTACTCAAGTACTGTACTTAAGTACAAATGTGAGGTACTTGAGTATTTCAATGTTTTGCTACTCTGTACTTCTACTTTTACTTTTGGTACTTTAAGTATAATAAGATGCTAATACTTTTGTGCTTTTACTTGAGTAACATTTTGATGCAGTACCTTTAGTTGTAACAGAGTATACATTTGACTGAAGTACAAGAACTGAGTACTTCTCCCACCTGTATGAATCCCCCCAGTTGAGTGTTCCCTCCCCCACACAGACACAGAGGGGCCTACCTGTTGGTGAGGGGCCCGATGAAGGGGTTGACCAGCAGCTGCACGGTGGCCTTGGAGGCAAACAGCAGTCCCACTTTCACATTCTCATTGAGCAGCCTGCCGCTGGACTGGGGGCATTCGGAGGAGTTCTGTGGCAGCTCTGGAGCAGGGGGGGGGTCCGTAGAGCTGACTGTGGTGTTGGGGCCCGCGGTCCTCACCGTGTTGTCATATAAGGACACGATGCTGTGGAAGGCCCCCGCTGGAGCCTGCTGTGTCAGGGTGTGGTTCTTCAACGCCATCTCTGCCGACTCATCCAGGCCGTACAGGTAACTGGGGATTATGGGAACTGGTGGGCATAAAGAGTTGAGAAGAGAGGGATGTGAGGAAACACGACAGAACCACTGACTGATGCTCCGTAGCATGATAGAAGACCAGGGGCCATTTCAACATTTCAGCAGAGCAGGAAGGGTACTCCACACCTTGAATCCACAGTTTCTTTAACCACTGAGGGGTTTGTTCACCTAACATTACAAAGTCCAAATTTCTACATTTCAACGAATCGAAAAAGATGTGCCTGTTGCAGAAAACTTGATTGTGTGGAAATGTATAGAATATAACATACATTACATACATCTTTCTTAAAAGTGCTAGGAAAATGTTGAAGCCACTGGTAACAGACAATAGGATGAGGACACATGACATGATATTTGTATAGCAAGAGTGATTCGCTGAGAGGAAGAAGACCTGGGGCCGCATTTATAAACGGTGTGTACGCTCAAAATATGGCATACGCCAGTTTCTAAGCAATGTTTGCTATTTATAAAAAACAAACTTGACGGGAAAACGTGCGGTCCTCCACACAAACTCTGACCCATGCGTACGCACTAAGCACAAAAACGGGAGAGACGAGAAACTGCGACACCGTAGGCAGGAGGAAGAGTGGAGATAAAAATGTGAAAATAATACCATAAATAAAATGTTACCTCTCATTTATCATATATGAAGAATTCATTTGCACAAATTGATTAAAGCCAATCTTAAAATGATTAAACAAGCGCCTGTTTGAGACTCCTCAGTGCACACAAAAACATAACTTGGAGAAATAAATATATACGGATATGTTATTGAAAACCACCTCGAATATGTTGTGTTAATGTTATGAAATGTATTCTCATAAATGATGCGGTAAGCAGGAGGATAGAATTACGTCTAAACTGACGCCGTTTTGCATATAGGTTGTAGATACGAGCATGGTTTTATATACTATCATGTTTAATCATGTTTTATGCTGTTTGCTAAGACTTGATAAGTCGCTCATAAAACACAGGAGGTATGGAAACTAAGAACACCATATATTTGGTAGATTTGGCAGCTGATATAACTCAACACATTAGTTGTATTTCCTTTAACTGGTGGATATAGAGTTGCCGCAGTGGAGACGCTGCGCACGGCTGATCGACAGCTGGAACACAAACCACCAAATAAAATAATAAACAATAATTGACTCCACTCCGCAGGGATTCCCCGATCATTTCTTACAGTTGCTCATCATGGGGGGGTCTCCTGTCCCGGCACAAACACACTGACACACTGCCTGAGGAAGGTTATGGTGTAGTTTGTCATTAATTTTTTTCGGACCACTTATTTATTTTGGTGACGATCCAACCTCCTGCTACTCTGGTTCAAACTGCATCCACCAAACAATGTGATTTGTCTCCACCTCCCCAAAAGAACCAAATTCTGACACGGTGTGAGATGTCTTTTTTATCTGTTCTGTTGTCATTTCCTGTCAGATCTTCTTCATGCAGTCAATCAAAATGAATGAATGAAAGGGCGTTTCTTTGACTATTTCTAGGCAAATATGGGCGTTACTTGAAGCCCGCAAAAGCTGCACCACATTTCGAGTCGATTGTGATTTATAAAGGGAAACCGGCGTAGGAAGTGCTGTACGCACTTTCCTCGCCGGTACGCAATGTTTGGTGAATCGGAAAATGTGGGAAAATGTCTGTACCTATTTTTTTGCTTTGTACTAGGTAAGCAACCTTCCCACGTGAATCCTACGCAAGGCGTTATAAATGAGGCCCCTGGGTACATTGTGCGGCTATAGCAAAAAAGTTAGCAATGTGATGTTACACAACACATAGTTTCCTCTATGGACGATGAGCTCCGGGCTGTTTGTCCCCTGTGTCAGATACAGGTTTTGTGCATCGTGGAATACTTACTGACTTTGGTTGCTACAACAGTGATAATGTGCTGATCTGCTGTCTCTCTGTCCAGAAAGTCATTGGTGGAAATGGTTCCTTCAACAGTGTCAATGTCAAAACAGCTGTCGCCCTCTGCCTGCCACTCCAAGGAATACCTGCAGAGGGGAGAGGAAACATGAAAGGGAAACAGGAGAGAAATTACGGGCCAACATTAGAGAAATGCTCTCACTCCTGCAGTCGGGCACAGTCAGTTTAAGCAACACATTAACGAATAGGCTGTTCTGTGCTGGAAATGTCATTTAGGAAGAGTTCAGGAGCCTTTGATCATAAAAGCATTCAGTAGACAAAGTTCTCAAGGATTAATAAATGTTAGTACTGTGAGTGAGTACTTTCCAGACTTTTCAAACACTGTGATGAGACTGTGTCGTCGCATTATTGTCTGATTTGACTTCTCAATGCGTGCTTTAGAAGTGATTCTGATAGCACAAAGACACTCATTATATCACTGTTGTATATTTTAATATTTTAAATCAGGTTGAACATTTTGTATACTTTAAAGGAGACTTATCATGCTATATTTGAATAATATATTGTAGGGCCATACCTATATAAGGTATATTTATACGTTTTATTTTTCAAAATACCAAACAGATAATGCATTTTAACCATGCCTCATTTCGCTCTATTTTGCTCTCCTCCACCCTGTCTTTGCATGAGCTGCAGCTGACCACGCCCCCCTGCAAAGGAGGGAGGCCGAGTTACGAGGTCTGTTACCATGCTGTTACCATGCCACGGCAACCTCTCATTCCCCTGATTGGTGGAGAGTTGGCCATATAGGTGGAGCTCCTCGTCACTGACGTCAGACTATTTTCAAATCTGTATCAGATCCGTTAAAGCCCCGTTTTTAGAGATTTTGGGTATGGAGGAAAAGAGAGAGGGTTGTGTTTTCTGACACTTGGTGAGTTCCCTGACACACCGGGGACACGTATTCATGTATAAAAGACGTACAAAGGTGCATTTTGCATGATGGGTCCCCTTTAAGAATTTGCTGCGGGCAATTTAACGGCTTCAGCTGGTCCCAGGGCCGTAGTTTGGACACCCCTGCTTTAGAGACACAAATGAGAGCGAGTATTGAAAATGTTCTGAAGTAGAGCATTTGTCTCTCATGCCACTGGTTCTCCTCAAGTTTTCCATCTGCCACCACCACTTCCTGTCACCTGACATCTACAGTGAGTCAGCAGCTTCTGTTCCACTTACTCATCACAGTGCAATCAGGAGAGCACTCCCTCATGACATCAGCAGATGTTTGACAACAAAAAGGGAATTTCTCATTGTTATTCTGAGACACTGAGTAGTGACCAAATCATTTTTTTATAAATGTTTTTTAGATAATGGGACAGTTAAGGTGGATCATGGTAAACCTTTTTGTTTCTTGTGATATTCCAAATAATACAAGCTTGTGATGTCTAAATGTCCTTAAAGACATTTGAACAACCCTGCCCTCTTTAAGTTTCAGAGTGTTTAACTATAGTGTGAAAGAGTGTATCTTTGTTTAGCCTTTGTAAAGAAACTCATGTGCCTGACATCGTTTGGCAGAAGGAACACCACAGAAACTCAAAAGCAACCCAACCGGTCTTTTTACTGTCGGAAAATCAGGGCACTCTCTGGAGGAATGTTTTTTGAATATTTGTTTTTTAACATTTTCACCTTCATTTGGAAGAGTGGAGTAGAGTTAGTTTAATTTCCATTTTTTTTGGTCTGGTGTTTACACTTTAAACAGAAACACTAGATGGTTTGGTCTGTGTTGACAATAGTTTCCTCTACATCAGGTTGGCTGCCATGTTGCCTGTGGATTTCTCCGACTAGTTGTGGAATTTAAAGTCCTATGTGTCACAAGTTAATTTTAAACAACGCTCGGTTGATTTATCTAGTGTTTGTTACGTAATCTCTGTTGGTGGCCTTATTTTAGTGTATGAGTTACTTAAAAACATTTTAATTCAAGTGAGGGCTGCTGTGCCAACAGACTCATGGTGCTTAATGTATAGAGCACTGCATTAGTAATTACCAATATGACATTGTGATTCAAATCATATTTGTTTGATAAATTAATAACAAAGTCTCACAGAGTTCATGGGTCTGTTCGATCGAAGAGACAAGATAAGATGGACCTCTATTGATCCCAGCAGGGAAATTCAGGTGCAATAGAAGCAACATAATAAGAGAGTACACATGAGAATATACACAGGGATGATACCAATACAAATAAAATAAAATAAGAATAAACATTATGAATAGAAAATACAAATATGACTTGAGTCAAACACTGATCAGTTGAATGTACATACAGTGGGGCAAAAAAGTATTTAGTCAGCCACCAATTTTGCAAGTTCTCCCACTTAAAAAGATGAAAGGCCTGTAATTTTCATCCCAGGTATACCTCAACTATGAGAGACAAAATGAGAAAAAAAGATCAAGAAAGTCACATTGTCTGATTTTTAAAGAATTTATTTGCAAATTATGGTGGAAAATAAGTATTTGGTCAATAACAAAAGTTCATCTCAATACTTTGTTATATACCCTTTGTTGGCAATGACAGAGGTCAAACGTTTTCTGTAAGTCTTCACAAGGTTTTCACACACTGTTGCTGGTATTTTGGCCCATTCCTCCATGCAAATCTCCTCTAGAGCAGTGATGCTTTGGGGCTGTCGCTGGGCAACACAGACTTTCAACTCCCTCCAAAGATTTTCTATGGGGTTGAGATCTGGAGACTGGCTAGGCCACTCCAGGACCTTGAAATGCTTCTTACGAAGCCACTCCTTTGTTGCCCGGGCGGTGTGTTTGGGATCATTGTCATGCTGAAAGACCCAGCNACCGTGTGGTAGTAGGACACGACACTAGTTGCGGACCGAGGAGATTGTTCACCCTGACGTTTCGAGTTTATACCGTTTCGTCCTCCATCGTAGGAGAGAGTGACCATTCTTACGTGAAAGACATGAAACAAACATATAAATTTTATAAAGTGACATTACAAAAACGAACAAAATACATAAAACTGTACAACGATTTCAACTAGAAAGATTAGTCCACTTGTGAGAACTGTTTGTGGGTTCTCTCCTGCTGGTAGAGTCGCTTGCCCTCAGGG